CACCACAGCTCCCTTGGGAGAGTGACGGGTCACTCTCATGTAACCCCGTTACAATCTTGTTGTATGAATAAACAATGACTTGAATATAATATCATAGGTCACAGATATTTAAATAGAATCATAAATAATATATATTTTCCTAGATAATCGATTATTTTGTCTTATACAACTCAAAGCAAAATCAAATAAGCTCGAAGCAAAATGTACAAACGAATGATGTGTATCATCAGAGGTAACATACATCTAGCAATCTCTTGAAGGTCGCTGGTAACTTAAGGCTGTCATTTAGTTGACATGAAGTATGATCTTTTCGTAACCGTCGTATATATTACTAAAATTAATATTATCGCATTAAAAGTCCTTCGACTTAAAATGTATTCGAACTTGCTTCACACGTGAAACGCCCGCATGCCGAGCACTTCGCCATTCAAAACCGTGTTGCGGGTCTGTCAATCTATTGAAAATAACCAGCAGACTCAAGAGCATGAGACACACTCGTTATCCCATGTCGCATCCAATGGGATCGTACTGGGTACAGGATCGCATGCTACTTATAAGCTACGTCCTGGCTCAGAGGCTGATGCTCTCCATGGGACATTAGAACGCACGTCTGGACTGGGTGTTTGGGTCTATAGTGACCATAGCAGTGAAGGAACAATTGTCAATAATGTGCATAAAATACTTCATGATGCTGTGGTGGTACACCAGGGTGACACATTAACATTGGGTCAGATAGAAATTAAATTGTGCCTTGAAAAAAATCCGACTGAAGTAGCCCCAGAAGAAGAGGAGAGTATGGAACAGAAGGAACGAGTGTCACCAGTTAGTATCAATCAAAAGATAGAAACGAGTACATCTCGTGCAGAAAGACTAGCACGACGTCGTGCGTCAACGCCATGGGGATCCACAAGCTTTTGTAAGACACTTTCGACTAAACAACAGCTTCATATTCAGACGTCAGGACTTTCATTTGTTGAATCACAATCTATTGCTACCATCGAGCCCATTGTCATTCCAGAATATACCGCATCAAATGGTTGTGGAACTCAATGGCAAGAGAAACAAAACTCCATTGCTATGACAACACTAAAAGCTGGATCACCGAAACAGCCTCGACAGTCACAATCATCTCATCGATCTCGCACGCAATTTGTTCTTGGGATCGACGTGCCACAAGTGGAAGAAAACACAGAAAAGGTGGCTTGTCCACCGCCATTGGAATACTCGAGCTCTCCTATCGTTTCACCTTCCTCTTTAATGACTCGAAAGCGACACACACTCGTTCCTTCCAATTCTGATTATGTCAATGAAATGCCACCACCTCCTTTTCTTCGGGTCACTGCACGACGTGATGATCTTCGGATTCAAGTGTCGAAAAAAATGGCGGCAGCTGCACCAATGAGTGCTGGAAAACTTGCTGTTCCGTGTGTGATTGCAAAAAATCTAGAGGTTCAGGCCCCGGCGTCGCCTGTGGCGCAAAGAGATATTAAGAAGCAACAAGAAACGCTTCAGACAATTCTAAAGCAAAAATCCAATGAAGAACAGCTTTTAAAACAGCAACAGGAAGAGTGGATGCGGATGGCATTCGAGTCTTGTGACAGCCCGGATACTATGTCTGGCGAGCGGGAGAAGCAGTCGTGTGTCAATATTGATTCGGACGAATTGGCATTCTTTTCTGTTCAGACTCCAGTGCTACTACGTACGATCTCACTCGGTATGAGTGAACAACAGACGCCACTACCGAGTCCACGCTCGTCTGCTTCTACTCGAGCCTCCCGGTCCCGTCTTAATAGTTGTGATGGAACTTTTATTGAACGTAAACGACAAGATTCGAATGGTCGACGGAAGACAACGGCTTTGGTTTTGTCGCCAAGCCTTCTTTATCAAAACGGAGTCGAATTGAGCCCATCTGTCAAGGAAAATGAATTACGCACTTCAAATGATAGCATTTCATCCTCCGCTACGACAATTACTGCATGCCACCGCCGTGTCACGAGCTCGGTACTTTTATCTTTGTTTGAGCTAAATTTTGGTAGCTCTTCAAATAATTTCTGTGTTGATTTCTGCAGCTTGTATCTGACCCCGCGAGCTCTGTAGATCTTTGTGATTTTGTAGGATACGAAGAAGATACTGAAGATTTGATTACATCGTACACAACTGCTGAGTTGTATGGCTCAGACGAGCACCTACGTCACTCACGTGAGGACTGTATTTCATTGCTTGACACTAACCGTATCGATAGATTTGGGACCTTGTCACCACCATTGTCTAGTATTTCATACGGCTTATCACCATTAAATTCGGCTGATACACGTCTCGGTTCTCCTCGTCGATGCAGTTTAAAAACTTCTGAAAACTCAATTTCGAACAATATTAACGAAAGTCAACATATTAGTGATAGCACGGAGACCAACAACGTACGTCCTAGAGATGACCAATACGACTCGCATTCTTCGCACGAATCAACTGCATTCTTAAAATCGTGCAGTCAATTTGAGCTTCGTCGACCAATTCAAGAGGGTGGAGATGACGACAACAAGGAAGGAATGATATTGCGACAGTCCAGACCTCAGTCATTTCGAAGACGTGCGTCTTTCCGTCATCACGTTTCAAAACCGTTGACAGGCACGAACAAAACGTAGTAAATCATTAAAAAGTCGAGCGCCTTATGTGAAACCACAATCATTTTTTTCTTGTTATCAAATAATCATTCCGTCAGCAACGAAGCTACTTAATTCATAGTGGTGAGTAGTTTGAAATGTTTTGACACTAAGTGTCGCTATGTAAGGTCGGAGTCAATAGATTCATGTCAAACAGTATCATGAGAATGATTTTCTCAGAACAATTGTTTTGAAAGTTTGATACAAACAGATCTAGAAGTCACAGCAACCAGTGTCTCGACCCACTCCATCTCTTCTCTCCATTGCATCACTTTACTCGTCTCGACTGCAAGCGTTTCGAACATGTTATAGTTGCTTATTCCTTTTTTCATCGGATCTTGCAGAATGTAGCTTGTAATCGCTTGTCAGAAAAGGATTATGAAAGAAGAAGCTTAAAGTACAAATAATGAAATTTCGACAGCTATGATCAGATACTCCTGAGAAGTTCGAAATGGTTTTGTTCAAATGTGCTTTCTGTGTCAACCTTTTCTTGCTTTCAACCCTCGTATAGAGAAGACGGCTGGTAATTTAAATACTAAGTATTATTTGCTTCAGCTTTTTACTTATTGAATTGCATGCATAACGAGCGTTTGATTCACCCAACCGATGACGTGACCAAGATAGCAGTTTGAAGCTACACGACGCTCCGAAATGACATAAAAGCTATTAAATTGGGGGATAAATCTGCTAGAACGAAGTGTAGTTTCAGCAGTAGTATAAGTCCCCTGCTGAATGTGATGCAAAGCCAACGAACATCCAGTGCCAAATGATCAAGAGCTCAGCGAAGACTTTTTGCGAGCATCAAACGAATCGATAGTGAGACCATGTTGCACCTTTTTCCTCCTTCACCGCTTCTTGTAAGCGAAGTTTTTTGGCTAATCACTCGAATATCTAACAATTAAGTTTTGATTATTATTATATTTTACCAAGTACCAATGATATAAATTTCGTATGCAGGTCATACAAATGATAACTCAAAACTTAATCATGCACGAAGCTCCTCTTAAACGATACCATGCTGGAAATACTGACGGCTCCAAACCGAGTCATAGCGCTATGCACAAGAAAGCAAAGATGCTTGCAAAATTTCATACATCTGCGCACATGTCGATGCTTTCGAAGCAGCACAATGGAGAGCGACATCCCGAAGTAAGTAATGTCGAGTCCGAGGAGATTGAAATTGAGGAGGAGATTGATAATGATTCACGAGAGTTACAAAGTCAAGAGACGGAAGATGGCGATAATACTACGATGCCTCTTGTAGTCTTTCAATGCAGCACTTGTCGCTCGATTTTTGGAGATTCGTACGCTTTTGTGTGTTCGACAGAGCAGCTCTGGCTTGTCACGTTGAGTCATGTGATGAATGTGACGCTAGCTCCAGAAGTTCAGACTGCTAGTGCAGGATTTGACGCTGGTAGTTCGTACTATGAATTACTTTGTCACAATTGCCAAGCTGTTCTTGGCCGCAGATATCTCACAACGCCAGTGGCATTAGACGAAATTCGAGATCTCTTTAGTTTCTCAACTGGAGCGATTACAAGCTATACGTTGGGAGATCCGATGCAAAAAGGAGAAGGTGAAGAAGATATTTGGATGAAACAAGCAAGCATAGCATGTTCGACAGCAATGCAAACGTTAGCAGCTGAGCAGAGTGAAGTGATGCGATTAAGAGAAGAGATGGAGAAGGTCAAGACACTGATGGTAGCTGTAGACGAACGATTGGCTCATTTAGAAGGATCTGCACCTGAGTCAGACGACGATGCGGCAGGTGAACGGCAGCACAGTCGACAGGCATAGTAGACGCAAGTGAATTGACGAGAATAGGACACATACTTCTGGTTTATAGGCATTGTGTCAGCTTGTGCGGTTACTCAGCAGCTGTAACCTGGGCTTCAAAGACCGCGCGAGCACCGTCAATTCCAGTTGGTGGCTTGGCCTTTCGCATCTCTCCAGGGCTGATACAGCAAAAGTATCTGTCAATGACATCAATTTGCTTCACGAATGGTTGACACTATTCATACCGGTCTATATATTCAATCACCGCCATCTCAGCACCGTCACCCTTTCGAAAATCGGCTTTTAGAATACGAGTGTACCCACCCTCACGTAATCTGTAAAATAAAATCCGTATCCTCCCTTCGTCAGTTATCTATGCGCATTCATTACAATGTCAACGGAACAGCTACACGTACGCATAACGAGGACCCACGATGTCAAAGAGCTTGTTAAGAGCTTCAGGTGTACGAATGATACTCTGAGCACGTTTACGGGCAGGATCGTCACCTTGCTTGGCCAATGTAACCACCTTATCAGCCACGCGACGCAATTCTTTGGCTTTCGGAAGTGTTGTCCGAATCCGCTCGTGTTCAATAAGTTGCGTTACCATGGTACTATATCATGATAAAGATATCACTTAGCTGCTATCAAATAGCCACGACAGATGCAAACATAATCGTACCGCAGCATCGCTTGGCGATGTGCCGAAGTGCGGCTGAGCTTACGGAAAGCCACTCGATGCTTCATATTTGTCCTAATAAACAATTTTCATGGGTCCACATAATGTTAAGTGTTATCCGAAGGTACATTATTGTTAGAATTATTGTAACTAGACAATGTTCCTCTAAATTTAGCTCAAAGTCTCAATAATAGCACACATGAAGTACAGCGAAGAGCTTCATGTCGTCTGCGGCCTTTTAAAACTCAATTAGCTTCATCAAGATTTCTCATCCTCTTCAACGACTCGATTAACATGGGAAACGTACAACAACAAGTGGGTAAGCGCATGGTCATTGGACGTTTTGAAGTAGAAGCCGTGCAGTATCTTGGTGAAGGAGGATCTTCGTTTATTTTTTTAGTTAAAGACGTACGAGCACCGCCAACAGCAAAGCCGCTTGTGCTCAAGCGTCTCGTAGCACATAATGAACAAACAGCAGAATGGATTGCAAGTGAAGTGCGTTTGCATCAGCGTTTGAATCATCCACAAGTGGTACAATTTGTGGCATCTCAAACTAACAAGCCTCGTGGTGACAAGAGCGAAGTTTTTATTCTCATGGAGTATTGTCCTGGAGGGCACTTGCAAGAAAATATGCTCAAAATGGGCACCAAACGCTTTGCTCAACATGAGTTACTGCGTACCTTTAAAAGCCTTTGCGAGTACGTTTGAATGGGAGTGATTAATTTTAAAGTTATCTAACATAACCTTCTTCTTTCTTCCTAGACCTGTTGCAGTGCTACACGCTCAGAAGCCTCCTATAGCACATCGAGATCTTAAATTAGAGAATTTTTTACTGGATAAAGAAGGTGTATACAAGTTATGCGACTTTGGATCATGTGTTGTGGGCCCCCAATCGCTGGCTACCAAGGCAGACCGTATGCGTGAATTGGATAATGTGTCCAAGCGCACTACTGCCATGTATCGCTCGCCCGAGCTGGCCGATGTAGAAGGTACTGCCATGTTTGGCTCGGGAGAACTTACAGAGGCAGTTGATGTCTGGGCCATGGGCTGTATACTTTATAGCATGGCATTTTTCAAGTCACCATTTCCTTTAGAAGGACTGCGTACAGATCGCTATACCATACCATCGAATTCTCCGTACTCACCAGATGTACACGCAATCATTGCACGCATGCTGACTGCTGATGTTGAGAAACGCGCTACGATTGAGCACATTATGGATTGTATTGATGAAGTCATTTGTGGCCGACCACTTCCATTGCTGGCAGGTCCATCTCCGAAGAAAAGTGAAAAGAGCAAGAGTGACGTAGCAACGCCAGGATTGATACCATCAAATAAAAAGACGGAATCGAGAAAGGAAAGTATAGCAAGCAATGTCTCCGATGGAGTTGATTTGCTTAATATGGACTTCAATCCGACTATCTCGAGCAATAAAGCCACCGATTCAAAATTGACAACCACCAATACGCTTGATACGACGTGGGCTACTGCTGATAACTTTGCTAACTTTGCGAGTTTTCCATCACCAACTGGATCCAGTCAGACCAGCAACTCAGTTTTTGCTTCTGGATCAGCGACATGTGATCCGTTCGCTATGCCATCGACTACGAATGGGCAAGCCGCCACTTCAACTTCTTCGACTAGTGTCTTTGACTTTGATGCATCTCCAGCCTCAGTATCTGCGCCAGTCTCAAGCATGAAATCTCATGCACCGGAAATAGATCCATTTGCAGAAATTGACGCTCCACCTCCAGCTTTACTCTACGGTGGGATGCCAGGACAGCGCATGGGACAGCAACAAATGGGTCAATTTGTGGGTCAGCCTCAAATGGGCTTTCAGCAGCCGCAACAAATGCCATCGCATATGTGGGGTGGGCCAGCCAAAGCAAACCAGGGATACCATTCGTCGAATCCATTTTGAGAGCAAAAGTAATCTTGAAGACACAGAAACACATTTTAAAACGAGTTATGACGATATTTTAAACACTTGCTATTTTCATGTAGTAAATTCAATGGTTTGAACGAACGAACTGTCAATTTGTTTTGCTGAAACCAGCCACGTTGACCAAGTTTAGCTCGTTTTGACAAATTCACATAGATCGACAATGATTCCTGATTGCGAATATGCTTTCAAGGCATTCTCACATCACAGATTGCAATAAGAAAGAATGTGTCGCCAGGGTATATTTCCAAGATTTTGTTTAAAATCAAAGGTGATACCCATCACAGCACGAAAAAATATTTTAGGGTCTAGAGCAACGTCCCACCATTCGTGGATGAAGTTATCAGACTTAATTCCTGCTCATGAATATATAGATCTTCTTTACTACTTTGACAAGACAAGACTTAAACTTGACCGCACATTAATTCGCATTGGCGTCTGTCAACTTGAAAAGAGACCAGACTAGCACAAGGCAGAAGCGCCGCGTACGGCTCAAATCGGCCTATGTGCAGGTTTAAAACTTTACAATTTTTACGAGGGCCGCGAAACACACGGACACAGTGTTGGCCTTCAAAACTTTTATTTTTTCAGCAGTTGAGCGTCGCACATAGCTAAATAGACAACACCTCTTCTCTATCAAAGCTTTTTAATATTTCGCCAAGTACAGGTCGTTGAAAGCAATGACCAACAAATTTGGGTTGTACTCATCTCTTTTAGAGTGCCGCTGTTCTAAATGCTCGATTTCCACGATCTATGCACTTTCCCCCAGGAATTCTTTGCTTCTACTGAAAATCAATTACGACCCTTCACTAAGCGTCATTTTTGTTGAGATTCATTTCTGTTGAGGGACGATATTGCAGCTAAATGTCTACTATAAATGCATTAGTTTACATTTGATCGTTTCCAACCGACAAAGAATGGGACACGCAGAGCGTAGATGTTGGGTAGTCGCGCTTATGTACGACTTGCTAATAACACAACGAAATCAAAAGCCAAGAGTTCACCCAATTCAGATGAGATCCATCGTCTTTAACCCGCCGTGCTGTAGTCGCAAATGGCTTTGCTGTTGCTTGCCTTGGCGCTTAAGCTCACATTGCATTCTTCAAAAGGTATAATGTTACCCTTCCCTATATACAATATATTTTGCCCCTGAGCTTTAAGAGGATCTATAAACGCACCGTCGTGAAATAGAGCAAAAGCTCATATGAAGAGATAGCCAAATTATGCCAAAAAAGGATAGATGGGTTGCTGATATACACATATCGTTGTTTAGGGAGGCCTTTGAGCTTCTGTTATCTATTCAGAGCTGAAAGATCTATGTAAAGTACTGCTGTAATATCGCCGCGCTCTTTGACTAGACCGCTAATCGAAGAAAACGATGCAAGAAAATTAGCAGTGTCAGCCCCTGGGGCACAATTTTCTCTTCGAAATTTGCGAGGTCTAAAAAATTTATTTACTGCTCTATGCAGGCCTTTCACTGCAATCTGTTTACACCAAAACTTTTTTGCTAGCATGAATGTAGTTTCTTCTTATAACGTATTTATTGCTACTTCATTCCTTGACTGTTGGTAGTCATGTTTAGATGTTGCTTTTGGCCAGACGTGATGTTTGTCGCGCTTCATGTAGATAGATGTGTCGTTGATATATCGTACAAGTTTTGGAGAGGAAAATTTTGTGGCAGTCTTCTGATGATGCTGCTACATATGCAAAATTATCCTTTTTTCATCACTCAGTACTTCAAATTTCTACTGCTTATAGTGCTCGATGCTAATGTTTACACTAACATAGACAAGAACGTGTTGCTGATGAATTGAACGGTTGACAACATAGCAAATTACATCCACGGACGAATTACACCAACAGCTCCTCTTGACGACGTCGCCGAAATCGGCCTCTTAATTGCTTTTGCTCGCGTTGCAGTCGATGGTTTTCGCCGCATAAATGAGGGACGACTTCCACATCCAGGCGGACACTCACCAAGCATATCCGGGTGGTTACGAGATACAGACGACAAGTGAGGCAAAACATGCTGTTGAGAAGATTTTTTCTTTTGCGCTTTTGCAGTGGTTGGAGTCGGAATCCGTTTGTGTCGCTGCGTTAAATTTGGAGACGGAATCAAGCGAATCCGTTCAACACGCGGCTGCTTCGATTGCGTGCTTTGTTTTTGACGCCTCACAGTCGCGAGTTTCTGTGCCACTGCTGATGGTGTAGAGGACGTGCGCTCAGACATGCCATCGCGATTGACCTGAACAATCACTTTAGGCGCTTGCACTACATAATCATCCTTTGCTTCATCAAAGTCGTCGAGCTCTTTCTCGGTCTCCGAATACTCATCGTCAATGAAATGCTCATCGTCATCGAAGCACGCCGGTGTGTTTGTTCCACGACTTGAAATCATCTTAAGTTTTGCACGGTTTTGCTGCTCGTCGTGGTCATCTTGTGCTACCTCTTGGTGATTTTCAGTTGTGGCTGGCTTACTATCGATGTTTTTGCGAATGACAAGATTTCCACGCAACCGATGTTCGTTAATGAAGTTCTGGAGGTCTGCCTCGCGGACACATTGCCGAGCACATAGTTCCTTCAGCTCTAAGTACTTGACGCGCGTTTGCCGCAGCTCGTCCTCACGTTGATGCAAACGCTTTTTTAATATTACAATAGGGTCGGTCTGTTCGTCGACCTTTATTGTCGGCCCCTGGCAATGATCTTGAATCAAAGATGACGATTCTTTGGTCGACATTTTTGGAAATTGCGGAAAATCCAGCCACTTATGCTCAAATAAGGCTGGCAGTTCAGCGTCATTTTCACAGCACTGCATCTCTTTTATACTGCTTTCTTTCCAGCGCTCTACGCTTATTAAAAACTCGTGAATAAGCTGCGCCATGCCATCCAGTTCCGTCTTTAATTTGTTCACTTCTTTGCTGTCTGAGCACTGTTCAGCAATCGGACTACTTGCCAACTTATTGAGCTGTTTCAATGCAGCTTTGAGCTGGTCTTTTACCTGCTTTGATCGAGCTATTTGCGTTTCTTGAAGCAGAACTTGTTCTTCTAGCGCAATAATTCGATCAAATTGTCTCTTTTCCTGTGTCTGCATTTGCACCTCATGCTCACGTGCCATTTCCTGTATCTTGTGATTCATTTCGCTGTCTTTCGCAGCAAGTTGTGCTTCTAATTCTTTAATTTGGTCCCATAAATGCTTATTCTTGTCTTGCTCCTTCAGTGGCTGCTTCCTTTCTCCATAAATATTCGCCTCTTCTATTTGCAATTCCGATGCCGGTTCATTCGCCTCATATTCGTCGCTTGATAAAGCTCGGTCCTTAGCTTTTGGAGTGGATGCATCTAGTTCCAAATGACTGACTTTCATCTTTGGAGATTGCTTGGTTTTGCGTTGTGAAACGTTTTTTGTATCTTGAGATTGATGCTGTAAAGGTGGTGATTGTCGTCTTGAATCATGTGAAGTGGTATCACTAGGTGCCGACTGGTCTCCGTGATTACTGTCCGAGAGGTCAGACGCTGAGCATGCTTTATCACTAGAATAATCTGACCGTGCATCGTCATTCCTTGAATGTGAATGATCCTGAGTTGGTGATGAATGTGACGTTTTTTTTCCTACAGTTTGAGCAGCTAAATGCTCAAAGTCGCGGTTTGATTTGTCATTTGTTGTTTTTTGATTTTGATGTAACTGATAGGTTGCTCCAATTTCCAGCTTCTCAATCGCATTAGTGGAAGCCTCTGCATAACCATTATTTGGCGTAACATCTTCATTTTTGGACACCAAAGACTCCAATTGATAAGCAACCGACGATAGGGGAGCATGCTGCTCAGTAGATTGTTGTCTCATAACCAGTCGCCGAATTTGTTGTTTCGATACTTTCATCTGCTTCTTAATTTTGCTGACCTGCCTCGGATACTCGCTCTCCTCACCATTTGTAAAGTTACCAGAATAATAATCCAGTTCCTTGTTCATCGGTTTAAATGAATCGTGTTGAATTTTGGGCAGTTCCAAATCTGGCGGACAATCTTCCCTTGCTAATATCTCTCCTGAAGAGAGAAAAACAAGCTCCATAGGTCGATCGATCCTCTGATTCCAAGTCGGCAATAGTTTATTCTTCTCTTCTCCATAAAAACTCTCGCTATTGCGTTTTAGTACACGTTTCCGCATTCGATAGGGATGCTGTGGATGCAGTTGCTCATCCTCCGTACGATCATCAGTACATTGTTGGTGGCGATACTGATGCGTCATTCCATTAGAAAACTTATGATGTACATTTTGATTACTGGAAGATCGCAAAATAACGTCGTCAGAGCTACCGAACACGCGCGCATCCTCGATGCGGCTCAGCATGGCGAGTGAACCGGTGCCTGCAGGTTTTTAAACGTTATGCACTATGTAGTGCACACTAACAGACTTAAGTGTTGCACACTAAAACTTGATTGCTGTGTGCAATACATTGGGATTACGGAGTCTTAGATTTTTTGTACAGATATTATTTTAGTATAATTTAGAGGATACTTACACTTAGTATCATGGCCATTAGTATCAGTATATGATACTGTGATTAGTATTAGAGTATACAGAATTGGGCCGTTTCGGCTTGCAACGAAGCACTTGCCTACTTCTAATCCCTCTCAAGAGAGATCAGAAGCCTCTCTTGCACTTCTGGCACCATGACTAACGCAAGATCTAAAGAGTTGGATGATACCGCTAACATTGAGGCTGAACAGCGTGCTAGGCTTGTGCGTCGCAACTCACGTGTGACGGTGGATCAGCTCCTGCGCGAGGCTTTTGCACGTGTGGACACCGACATGGACGGAAAAGTGAGTGCTATTGATATTCAACACGGTTTGCGTGTAGCTGGTGTCAAGCTTTCAACAGACGACGTCGGAAAGCTAATGAAGCGTTTAGACCCGAAAAATCAGGGCCAACTTACTTACGAGGACTTTCACGCACTGCATGATGCATTTATAGTGCAAACCTTTCACTCTTTTGACAAAAAGAACAAGGGATTTCTTGTTGATGAGGATCTTCAGAACGGCCTTCGAACGTTGGGCGTTACCGTTACGCTAGAGGAAGCGACTAAAATGATTCAACAGCTACATCCACGTGATGCGCATCGCGTACACGAGGCTGATTTCAAGCATCTGTACCTGCTATTGCGCTCAAAGATGGCATCACCCACGGCACTTGAGCACTTTTTATGGGATCCAGATATCCGTCAGCTTTCTAAGAATTGGTGGCAAGCCAGTATCGAGGTGGGCGAAGACGGCTTACGCGTACCCCTACCCGACAAGGATGATAAAGTCAAAAAGGTGTCCCCCGCTATTAAGTTTCTTGGTGGTGCACTTTCTGGTGTCATTGAAGCGTTAATTCTCACACCGTTGGATGTGACCAAGACACGTATGCAGCTTGACAAAACTGGTCATTACCGTGGCATGGTCGACTGTGGAAAGAAGTTATTTGCTGCGGAAGGTCCGAAAGGCTTGTATAAAGGGTTTGCTCCATGGACTACTCACGGTACGATTGGTTACATATTTTATCTTGGCATTTATTAAAGCAGATGTTAACACTATCTTGTTCTGTTACCAACAGTTGTGCTTAAAAATGGCACGCGTTTCTATTTCAACGCTATTTTTCGCCGCGTACTATCGGATAAAAATGGTCAAGTCAGCGGAGCCAATGAGTTTATTGCTGGTGCGCTTGCGGGTGCCACGGAGGCTGTGCTGATTGTGACTCCATTCGAAGTTATCAAGACGCGCCTTCAGGGTCAGGATATCATCAAAGGCGAGACTCCGAAGTATCGTGGTCCAGTTCACACAGCCGCTACAGTCATCAAGAACGAGGGTCTACTTGCTTTGTGGAAAGGTTTGGTTCCGACAATTGGACGTCAAGGACTCAACCAAGCTTGCAGTTTCTGGTCAAACAATTTTATCAAGAAGCACGTGTGGAAGATACAAGATGGTGACTCGTTACCGGCATGGAAGAGCGGACTTACCGGTATGATTGGTGCCATTCCTGGACCGTGCATCAATTGTCCTATGGATGTGGTCAAGACGCGGCTCATGGCACAAGAAACTGCTGCTGGTGCTAGCGGGAAATACAAGGGCACGATGGATGCCATGGCTATGATTGCCAAGGAAGAAGGTATGAAGGCGCTGTATAAAGGACTTGTTCCGCGTCTTGCTCGTCTGTGCCCGTCGTATGGGATCCAGTGGCTTGTGATGGATCAAGTCACTGAGTACTTTTCTAAAGCTTAAAGGAACCATCTGTTCTGCATGCTAGAAACGCCGAATGTGGCGCTGTCTCGCGATTCATGTGCGACTGCAGTCTACATTCTCACCTTCATAAAGAGTATAGTTGGTTTCGAGCTAGTCCATTCCTAAAGTTGTTTATTGCATCATATAAATGATGACTATGAATCGAGCACGTCTAGAATATATCCACGGAATGAAAGTCAAAGGTATGGCACTGCGGTTTTATTTCCATCGACACTAGGCTCGAAGTTGCTCGTACTTCCTCATTCACTTGGCCCTCATTGAGAGAGTTGATATCTCCCCGATCCCACAAAAGACACTCAACCGTCCAACGACGCAGCACCCGAGATAATTTCAATTAACTCAGTAGTAATGCGAGCTTGACGGGCCTTGTTGTATACGAGCGTGAGCGAGCCAATGAGGTCCTCAGCATTAGTAGTCGCGTTTTCCATAGCAGCCATACGAGAAGACTCTTCACTGGTCGAGTTCTCAATCATTCCTTGGAAAACGGCTGTTGCAATCTCGAATTCCTTCAAGTCAGCAAGTAGCTCATCCTTGTTATCAGGTTCTAGCTCATACAAGTCGAAAGCGTCCGAGTCGGGCTGCACCGCTAGCGAACGTACGGACGGCAAGTATGAAATCGCCGACTTAAACTTGTTGTAGATAACGTGCACTTTCTCCGATTCCGATGAAGATGAAGCCATGATGGCTTCAGCAATCGCACTGGCAACCGTGAAGTTGGGAGGTGATTGGTATGTTTCTGTGACATTGCCACGAATGTTACTGGCAAGATCGCGGCGCAACTGAGCGCGAGCCTTGTCACCAATTACGAAAATCTGTGTGTGATCTTCAACGCCAGCGATCTGCTTGCGAGTGGTCTTGGCAATACCGGAATTGATACCACCGCAAAGACCACGGTCTGACGAAACGACGACGAATAGGTTGTCGCCTTCGAGCTCTTTGATTGGAGCTACACCGTCCGTCTCAATGGTGCGGTTTTGAGCACCCTTGACATTATCTATCCACGCAGTGAAAGGGCGCCCTGCATTCATGCGGTTTTCTGCGCCACGCATCTTCGCGGCCGATACCATCTTCATGGACTTAGTAATTTTGGCGATGTTAGACGTTGCGGTAATACGCTGCAAAATCTGCTTTTCAGTGGCCATACCGCGAGCTTGTTGACCAACGGTCCTGCACAAACAAAAAGCGTTTGTCAGAGTGTGATTGTCATAGAAAGCCATGCACCCGTCTCGCATTTATCTGGTTTGTCGACTGACAACATTTGTACAAACGGTGCCAGCAACCAATGATGCTGCTAGTGCTTTCAACTTATCTCCTTCTGGAGTAAATTAACGATGCATGCATAGCTACGCACTTGAGCACAGGCGCCGAGTTCTTGACGAAAATCATCATAACCATCCTATCGGTAATGCTGCTTGTTTTTAGCCGCTCGTTTAGCGCTCCCCTTTTAAGACTTTTTGTCTACCACATATATAAGATCACATTTCAACTTTTGATTTACTATATTTAGTTTATCTTTGCAGTTGGTTCTGAATTGTTATTATCATTGAGCCATGCAGTCGCAAATACTGCCTCTCGCCAGGACGTTGTCCGCTTCGGCTTGGGACCGCAGAGCGAGTTACTGTCAGATTGATTAAAAAGTGTACTCATCAGCGATTGAGGCTGTATAGAAGCATCTTTGATGCAAATAGCTCGACGTCGCTCTTTAGATTGTACATCCTCCCGCTTGTCATTCTTTTCATCTCCATCAAATTCGGATTCGACGTCATTATTTTCCTCATCGTCAGTCGGAACAAATAAAGAAGATGCACTACAACGTATGGCTCCGCGACGAGCTATAGGTCTCAAGCGTGCGTAGAAAGCAATTGCTTGCTGGATTGAAGCAGCTCGCCAAGAGTCCGCGCAATTGGCGGTGCGATTGCATAACGCCTGAGCTGCCCGAAAGTGTTCAAGTGCTGTGTAGGTATCATCTTGCAAAATAAAGTGTTTGCCCATCTCATACTCGGCAATTGCTTCCATATGTACGTCATTTAATGATCGAGATCGCTCCAGAAGCAAAACCAGCTCAGCATGCGCAATGTCTTCTTTACCTAAAATTCGTAGCGTCTTGACCACATGAAAACGTGATCTTAATTCATATTCCTGGTCTCCAATGTTGAGTGCCACTTGCAACATCTCATGAAACTTCATCAGCGCTTTTTCGTAGTCATTAGCACGCTGCAAAAGAGCTAATGCGTAAGCTTCGGCGCATTGTATTTCCAATCTTAAGCTTCCATGATTTCCCACGTCACAGAAAGCCTTGGCTAAATTGTACCCCATTTGAGCATATGCCAAACTGTGGGACATTGAAGTGCATTGTCGTAAGCTGCCTGATGCCTGAAGCAAACGCGCCAGCATCATAAGGACGTCACATGATAAATCAATCAATGGTGACTGGTCAGTGGATATCATGACCCGACGTACTGCAGGAGCCCACATCTGCACTATCCAATTCCTTGCAATTCGGTTCTGCACTACCGATTGCGTCGAAAACGCAGCAGCTTGTGTGAGTTTCTCCACCGTTTTTGCAGCCGAGTCGTCGGACATGTTCAGATTAAATGTGGAACATGCAGCTTTACTTCGTAATAAATGCGCAAGTATTGCAAATGTAGCTTGGAGTGCAGCGTCCAATTGACGTGCCTCGTGAGGAAGCGCACAACAATGATGGACGTTCAGATGCAGTAGACGCGCAAGAGAGTTTAGCCAAGATGAATGAGCTGCTACTTCAAACACCTGAAAATGTGGTGCCACTTGACTCCAAAATGCATTTTGTTCAACCGCAGTCGTAGTCAATGGCATTGACATTTTAATTTCACATTGATCAGGTTGATCATTATTCTCCCCGTTGTTTCGACACATATCCTTAAGTGCTTGAGCATCGGCTGTCGCCAGTGTCGACACTTTTGCAAATGTCATGCGCAATCTTGGTACCAGATCTACCAATTCAGTGCGAGCTTCTACATCTAATTGCTCTGCTAAATCCTTTATTGCTGCATTGTCCGGAAATGCTGAAGCTGCTAGTGCTGTAAATGCTTGTGCATTTGAAATCTCACCTAAGCTTCGCGAGCAATAAGCGGAAAGTAAGTGAGCCTCTGCAAGTATCGCCTGGTCCGATGCAAGAGCAGCAGCAGCTTGAGCGTCTTTAAGGGCTTGTTGAACCGCTTCTAACATTTCTGCCGATTGATTTGTTTCTTTCAATAAAGGATTACTCACCGACGCCTCCACAGCTAAAATATCTAGCGGTACTAACATGGTGGCATCGTAGTTAGCAAACGTTAAAAGAACTGCAGCGCGGCGACAGTACAAAGAAGCCAGATCATTTTTTTTGGCGATTGATGTCATAGATTGCGCTGCAGTTTTGTCGTGCTCATTGATAGAAGTATTAACGATTGCCACCTGAAGCTGTTTTGAGAGTTGCTGTAAGACTTGAAGGTCTGCAAGTACGGTAGGGTGCGTGATTGCGTTTTGCTTAACGTGTTTTTCTTCGTTCGAATTTGGTTGCTCTTCTTCCTGTGGGCTGTCATCAGACATATTTTGTTTGAAAAGTATCCCAAAGATTGAAGGTGCAGCCATGTCCGCAGAAGTGGTCACACATTGAGTCGTCTTCATTTTTAAGAAAGAGCTTGGAAATCTGATGCTAAAGTTAATGTGGAAGTGCTACTTAAGTGCTCAAGCGCGGGGATTGTGCACGGAACCGTTACTATTAAGAATATAAATGTCTAATCTTATTTGCAACCTCTACACCTTCGCATTTATCAATGCTTTAAATACATGTGAGGGTATTGTCAATTTGCTTGCTGTAGGTTGGATGGTATTTTGCAGCACAATGTGATTGCATGCTCGATTAAGATGGACAAGATTTATTTTTGGCACCTGCACTCTCGTTAAGCCGTTTGTTGAGCACTCTGATGGAGAAGGCTGGGGTAATCAAATCAGAGCTTCGATGCTCAAACGAAATCTGTGGATGGAAACCTACATTATGTATTTACCAAGAAGTTTGGTGGAATTTCACATACATGCGCCTTTTGATAACAACCCGTGAAATGCATCATACTGCTTACACATTAGGGAGAATGTGTGATGAGAAACACTCAAGATTTGTCTAAGAGCAAACGTCTTTTCTCATACGATCACTTCGTTTCAATCTAAAAATATCCTATGCTCATATCCATTTTCTCGCGACGGGGTTAAGAATTAACAGAGGGGCAGAGTACATCTTAGATGATAAAGTATAGCTAAAAAGATTGCCGTGAACTTCCCAAGTGGAATATAAATGAAGGAACATATCTATAGCAACATGTTCAACACTATTAGGAAGAAAAAATATCATTGTCAAAGTAACAATTATAGAAAAAGACAGCATTTTAACATTGTGCGGGAAATTGGCATGACACACACATCGCACCCACGCGCGCATTCGCTCCTTCGTTCTAATTTTATCTTATCTTCTCTTTCGATCATCAAAAGTTTTAAAGTTTAAGTACCATATTCAAAAGAACATGACTTTTAAACAACAAAAATAAAATGTTTTCAAAAATTGTTTATACTCAACGAATCGAGTTCAATAATATTTTTCATGCAACATGAGGCACGTTCGGATCTTCCGCTTTGTTATGCGACTATATCCTTTAGAGAGGAAAACATTTTTTCATTTTTTTTTCGCTTTATGGATATTTCCATAAAAATCGAGGAAATGAAGAGCTGCGAGAGAAATGTCAAATTGACCTACAAAGTGCAATTGATTAAGTTCATAAGCTATCCGTTTCAAAATGAAAGAACAGATTTAACTCCCTGATGTGCCTGCGATTTCAAAAGAAGCCCTAGTCTTGAATTTTGAATTAAAACTCAGTCTGTTCTCTAAAACATTATGTCTAAATGTTAGCCCCGAACGTATTGGTGTGTGGAGGAGTGTAAAAATCGCCAAAAGACGATTTTAGCCTGTAAATTGCAAACTATTTCTTCTATTTTTTGAATGAACGAAATGTGTGACGTATCGGAATTCTAGAAAAACTTCTCATTGTTCTCCGAACAATTTTTAGAAATGTTTTCTGAAGAAGTTACCATTCGAGACATCAGGAAATCCTTGCGCTTCCATGAGGCTCGTTTGCTTTTCTCTGTCTAACTATAGTATCTAAAGCTGATGTGATTCAAGTGGCCGAGGTGGTAGGTAAAGGATAAACTTTCAATTAGTGTCAGCAACAAGCGTGACAGCTGCAATACATAGTACGTCGAGAAAGAATGTAACTCCATGTTGGTTGTAAGCCCTCGTAACATTTCCTAAATCTGCTGATAACATCTGTATCAGCTTTTGTAAGGATCACAATTTGTAACGACTCTCTTACATGTTTTCGGGGAGGCAATACTCCCATTGCGACTCATTAGACGCCGTAAAAATCAGAATAGATTAAAGTACCCGCGATAAATTCCTAGCACTAAGACCATCACGACTCATAATAACACGACAATCGGATAACCAAACACGCATTTAAGAACACGATGGGTCAAGGCACAACACGCGACAAGAATCAAGTGCGGGATTTTTACATACCGTGGGAGGTAAACTGTGTGTTATACGGCGTTTCATCTCCTGCTATTTTGAGCGATGTAGTTGTAAATGATATTTTGTATCGAATTCGGTAGACATTTATCCAAAACTTTGAAGCACTGTATATTACATGATCCCCGAGTTGTACGGTAGGGAAGCGCAAGTGAATTCGTTGAGGTGGTAAAAAGTCATGACGCTGCGACTTATATACAGGAGGGCATTATTCGAAGTTTTGGAAGCTAAAAGCTCTGGCATATCACACCGTCCGATTTGACGATTTTGGTGGCATTGTCAGTTTCAAACTTAATTTAACAACGAGTAATGCATTTATACCTGTACCTAAGAGCCGTAGCGGACATCAACATTTGACCGAGCGAGCTGTACGATACGCGCACCAATATAGATCAAAGGGTAGCAAGAACCACATTCGTATTTTTTGTCGCGGCAACTTTTGTGTTGGAACATGTCCATAATATTGCTACATAACTCAAAGAGCACGTAGCAACACAATAGTTCAGCAAATGCCACGACAGTTTCAAAGTAGATGACTTTGTTTGCCCACATAAGCGAGGACCTGAACTCAATGCTTGGCTCGTTTTGCACGCTACTGACTTGAGGTGAGATATGGCAGCTATAGAACTAGATAGACAGGCGTCGTGTGCTCTTGACTTAAAACTCACGTGCGGAAAGTGTTGCATTGACATCCTCATGGTTGTCTCTGCGTCGACCGACTCACGACGTTGAACAAAATGAGTACGAAACAGCATTTGCCTCCACATTTAAAGAGCGTTTGGCATCAAACTGTCACTTGCCGGACTAGTCTGTAGCCCCGATAAAATCTGTGGAACCCGAATAGTCGTGATGTTTACGTTATTGGGAAAGCTGTTTTCGGTGAGGCGACCGTAATGGATCTACTTCAGTAGTAACCGTCGTGCTAGACTTTCTTTGTCTAAAAAGTAGAAATAGCAATATGGTAATAAACATGACATGGAGCACTCGCGGAACGAGACGAACTTGCATGTCGACAAGGATGTGATCTAACGCAAGCTAGATGTGCTTCTGAATCGCAACTTGATTGCTTTAAATGCAAGGAAGGTTACAGTTCAGTAGAGTCCAGTCGGGCTTGAGGTAGCCCAGCGATTTGGTCGACACATCGTCATTACTTTTGGTGCAGTAGCAATCGTCATCGTATGGCTCGATCAAGGACAATGTTGCGTTGTTGACAAGATGGAAGTCGCGGCCGGTGTGGCACTTGGAACAATAATAAGAGAGTTAACTTCTGAAGTGAGCGTCTCGGATCATTACTTTTCTATTTGCCTCCACTTGCGCATCTCACAACTTACCCAACCGTCGCCAAGGAGCTTTGAGTTACCCATTCACAATCCGATATTTCATCAACTACACATAACTAATCATGTCGACCGAGCACAGCGCCGCTATCCTGGATACTACGACGCAATTACCACCTACAGAAGTCCGTTGCTCGTACCCGAGTAAATTATGCAACAACCACCGCGCTGTTAAAGATAATGGTGACCTGCATAAACTTTGCGATTTCCATCGCAAGAAAGCCAACGTAAACCAGCAGCGTATGCAACAAAAGCGTCGCCTTATTCGTCAGCAAATGGTTGAGCATAAGAAGCGATTTATGGACGCAGCTCAAGCTCCGATGGAGTATAATGCTTCTACGAACATGATGGAGCCAAAAGAACCGATCTGTAATCTTTCGCATGAGGAAGTGATGATGCTAGAGGTCATGCTCTTCGACGAGGACGATGGCGACTGCGAGGGGATGGCATTCCCTTTTGATTTCCCGGTTACTGGTACATACCCACCTCACATGCCGTCTGGCAACATGTCATTGTAGGGTATTGACTGCAACATCAGTAAGCGACTGCCACTTGTGTCCATTTGTCCTTCGTTTCGGTTTCGCATAGAGTAGCGCGATCTTTAGTAATAATAGACAATGTATTAGGTAATTTTTCTGCGATTTTTGTGTGTTCCTTTTAACAATATACAATCTGGCATGGATATTCGAGGTAATGTAAAGGTAACGCGCTGTCCGAAAAGTAAGGCAAAGCTGACTCATTCGCGGATACTTTAGCCAGAAAAATCTGCTGGATAGTGCCAAGGGGATACTGTATGAATACTGTACAGAAAACGACACGAACCAATTGTGTTGTAGTAAAACGCATCTATTGTTTGCATTCAGACGAACAAAGTATGGACGACTAACATTCAGTCGGTCGAAAAGTCGCAACCGACGTACTTGGCGAGCATCAGTATGATCCATAAGTAGTACTCTTAGGTTCAGCATCTTGTCGGAAGTCTTAATGCTTCTCATGGGCACACCCATGGCTGCAATTGATGGGCAATACCGTTTCGACATTGCCAATCCCTCTAGTCGCTGCTGAGGGAAATGTTGTTAGTGGTAGCAGCATGTGCAGCGCACTGTTACAGCGATTCTGACGTAGTGCCCTTTGGTCCATTAATACTTCTTTGCCTATTCTATGAGACCGAATTAAAAGTCTTAGACTGAGATATATTGTATTTAAATATTATGATTAACATCCGCTATAAATCTATAGTTAGTGTAATGTCTACTGATCGCTTTCTAGGCAAGCACTATGCTTGACTTTCGTGCTGAATTGTTGAATTTCTTCACCCACCAACTTTTTAGAGGACACAGTTATTTGAAGAAGATATTTCGGTACCACCACCGTCCATACATCTGGCGTAAGTGTAAGCGAGAGTACAGTGTGCGGTGCGACAAGGGCGGAAGATGGGAACCGCCCATATCGAAGTTTCTCAAACTATTTGAGGTGGTGGACACAACGAAAATTCTAGCCGTTTGACGAACTTATCTGCCATCTGATTGGTTTACAGCCCAGCGAGCATCATTCTGTGTCGTACCCAGAATGTATGCTACTAAAATTTAGCCACTCACATCGCAGGAAAAACCAGATCTTTTGCGAAACTAAATATTCGCACTGGATTTCGAGCCCAATGACGTTATGCAAGAGTTCCGCTCTTCTTACGATGGCGAGTTCGTGTTTACGGTTCGTGTTTGTCCTACACTTCAGTTGAGGAGGCCTACTGTCAAATCGGTCATAATTTAATTTGCTCTGAGCTAGCAACAACGTGTCTCACTTAATAAAACAGCGATAAACTAAATGAGAGACCACATCCACAGCCCTGACAGCAGTTCACCAACCGCTACAATGCCTGAGGAAATGCGCTGTCAATATTCTAGTAAAAGATGCGAGAGCGAACGTACGAACAAAAAGAGTGGAGGATTGCACAAGTTCTGTGCCATGCATCGTGAAAAGGCCAATCGCAACCAAATGCGTTTGGATCAACGACGTCGCGTCGTCAAACAGCAACAGAAGGATCTTCAGCGACAGCAACAGGCACAGCGGATGCAAACATTTCAAGTTCAGCAGTTGCAACGACCACTTTGTTGTTCACCCGCTGCCATGGCGGCAGGACAGAATTATAACTACATGCATCGGACACAGAGAAGTCCAATGAACACACTGCGGAGCTCAATGAATGCCAAGTCCATGTCCCCGCCTGATATGACGATTAGCATAAAGCGACAGGAAGCACCACATTTGCCACTCTTTGACCAGCATGACCTCGAGATTCTCGAAGCATTGCTTTTCAGTAGCGACGATGAGCAAAGTGACGCTGCGCCAGTGACTCATTGTAACGCATCTCATTTCTTACGCGCGCCGTCGTTTGTGAATGTTTGACGGCACAGCGCCGTCGCGGCTTCTCCCGTTTCCAATTTAGATCCGGGCGGCGCGAATTCTAATCATTCCGACTTGTCAGATGAAGAGTGTGTGTAGCAGCGCACAGTCATTGCAGAGATAGAGTTGACAGCGGAAGTTTTATTTAGTGGACTAGTGTAAAATTTTATTGTTATAATTGAACAATTTTGTTCTTGTTAACCACTAATGACCATGACAATTTTTGAATTAGCTCCAACAACTGATACTTTCACTCGCCTAAGTTCGGGAGATATAAATTACTAAAATCGTATCCCGACACGTATCCACCGCCCTCATGGTTCTCCTTTGGCTCGCGCTACTCTCTGCGTGTGTACACGCTTCTTGGCACGGCGTTTCTCCCGATTTAGAGCGCAAACTTATTGCTGTCTCTAGTGTACGTTTATTCTAGTTAATTATAAGTTTTTACCCTGTCTGGTTTTACTCTTATGTTCGCACATAGTTCACATGCGATAATGGGCAACAACGGCTCGACATCTCTCGCTTGAACGACAATTACTGTGATTGTGTAGATGGAAGCGATGAGCCTGGAACATCGGCGTGCTCGCACACGTCTGCAGTTTTTCACTGTGTAAACGCTGGCTTTTTCTCGATGGATATTCCGACTTCAATAGTGAACGACGGTATTTGTGACTGTTGTGATGGATCAGACGAGTATGCAAGTGGAGTGTCGTGTCCCCATGACTGCGTACAGAAAATGGAGGCTTTTAAATTGGACAAGATGGATGTGATCGAACAGATTGAAGCTGGTTTATCCGACCGCGTTGTGCTTGTTAAAGAAGCGCAAAAACTTTTAAAGGAAGAGCTAGAGAAGCTTAAGACGCTCGAAACGTCCGTCGAGTCGTTGAAGATTATGGTTGAGCAGTTACAAGCGAGAAAGATAGAGGACGAGCGACTGGAGAACGACGAGAAGGCAAAGCGTGTATTAGACAGTCGAGAAACAATTTTGTCGGAACTGGGACTCTTAGAGCTGACTCAAGAACAACTTTTGTCAGTGATATTGGAAATTGGACGCACAGGTCTATCGAACAAAAATGATCTTTTGCCAATTATTCGAAAAGAACGCGAGGCAGCAGTAACAAATGAAGACAATTTGCCGAACACTGTGATGGATGACAAGCACGAGGCTTTTTTGGCACGAGACAAAGTGCATCAAGCAGAGACGCATAATACTGAAGAGTCGACGGATGAGCATGAGACCGAGGGAACTGAGAAGAAGGACGATGAGAACGAAGCTGAGAAGGAAGATGAGAAGGAAGATGAGAAGGAAGATGAGGAAGAGCTGACACAGCCAGAAGTGGAGATGCACCCAATCGATGTTCTATACGCAGAGCTGGCAGCAAGTGAGCAATTTGAAGGGGCTGATGCGATTTTTACTCGGAAAGAGTTGGATAAGACTGTGACGGAACTCAAAGAAGAAGAGAGAAAATTTAATGGAACGCTGCAAGTGCTGAAAAAGAATTATGGTGACAATATTGTGTTCTTTGCTCTGCGAAATAAGTGTGTAGAAACGATGGCGGGACAATACAAGTACAAGATTTGCTTGTATGGACAAGCCACGCAAGATAACACGAGATTAGGAACTATGGACGATCTTATATCCGAGAGCGAAGAGAGTGAAGCGGGTTCTCGTGAAAAGTATTTAAAATTCTTGAACGGAGACAAGTGCTGGAACGGCCCGAAACGATCGATAACAGTGGAGCTACAGTGTGGCCCGGAGCCGATGGAGTTGTTTGAAATTGAAGAACCAAGTACTTGTGTCTATACGGCAAAGTTACGCACGCCTGCAGTATGCAATGAAGAAGACCGTGAACGAATCATGTCAACGAATAGCGCAGTGGTAGTACCTCATCACATCGAAATTGAGGTTCCACCAACTTTGTAAGACTGTTCTTCTTCCCCAATTCTGCTTAACGTAAGTTATGACTTTAAAAGCACGCTTATGTTGCAGAATCTAAACTTTGCGAGATTTTAGGCCAATTTTGCGCCAGATTATATAAATATCAATTGTGTTATGATTTCGTCTTTATCACTATTATTGAGTCTTGAGTTCAAACACATTTCGATGCCTAAAATGCCGTATTTCATTTGAAGGACCAAAGGTGATGACTTGTTGCTAATGAATGTGGAAGCTAGATCTGGATTGAGCACGGTGGCTGCTCAGAATTGGTCCCAAGAGAAAAATAAGTATTTGCGCTGGCGTTGGAAATCTATGCCTTTGGCAGGGAAGGAGATTCGATTGTACCGCGGTTTATGGTGGCAATGCTGCACTTGCGGAATGCCTTGTTTCAAATGAAAAGAGAAAAGATAAAAAATTATAATTTGCATTCCGCAAAAGACCAGTCGTCTGTTAATTGTGGCTTTAGATTCTGCTGAACGATCTCAAGCTCTACTGAAGACATAACCGAAGGGCATCTGCTAGGCGTTTTCACGCTATGAAAATGCTACCTACAGCAAAAGATGTCGGCGTCGACTGCGTCCATGACGCCATCGTCGGCGACGACGACGGAGGATGAATCCACCTGACCCAAGCTGCTCATGGTGAGAGTTGAGACCTTCAACAGCAAGGATGAAGAGAATCACCTGCTGCTCTGAGTGGGAGAGGTCGAGTTTGCCATGGCGTCTGCTATGTTCCAGACCGAGAAACAGCGCGTAGCGCTAGCTATTTCCAAGCTCGGGAGTCGAGCACGAGAATGGGCAATGACGTGCGGCACTTCGGTCGAAGCGGCGTCCAGCTTCCACGAGTGCTCTCGCCGCCTAACCTGACAAATCGCGTGAGATCGCATTAACTTGCCGCCCGACTGGACTTTGTCCAAGAGTAGCGAACTTTCATTACCAAAATTGCAGCCGATCATCTTCCCGAGGCGGTCATAGTGACATTCGTTATGGAGGATCACCGCACTGGCGTGGCCAGAAAGGAAGTCTTCCGTGTGCACCCACCTTT